GAGCAAAATTCTTTGGTTACTTGGTTTCTTGATTGCACAGAACGTTCCTGACTTTAGGACAAATGAAAAGCATCAGGAGAGATGTGAGGATGCAGGGACAGAGGCTCCCAGAGGTCGGGGTCTCCCCCATTTTTTTCTGACGTGTTTGAGGCAGGGAAAGAGAAAATCCTGCTTGCTGTGCTGATTGATGAGGGACGAAGGCAGGATTTCGTGGGAAACAGGGCTGTAAAATCACAGCACACTTAGCACGGTGCTAGAACTTCGGGGGGATTCCATAGAAGTCAAAATTATTGATTAGGGAGCAAAATTCTTTGGTTATTTGGTTTCTTGATTGCACAGGGCGTTCCTGACTTTTGGACAAATTCAGACCAGTTGGAAAGCAGGCTTGAAAAGCATCAGGAGAGATGTCAGGATGCAGATCTCATAAAAAGGAGCAAAGCTTTAATTTGACAGATTCTGATCTAGCATAGCATGACAGGAGTGCAGGGATGTATGGAATACGAGGCACTTTAGTCTTTATAGCAACAGACAGCTATCAGCTCATCTACTGAGTGCTTCTTTTGGAGAAAAGGCAGCCCCGAGGGCTCCCTGTGTTAAGGTTCACTTCAAGTTTATGCTTAGCAGTAGAAGCATATTTCTACATTCACAATATCATGCTTAAGGTTTGCTCTAAAGCCTTTACTGTTTGTGGAACCATATAAATGATCAGTGGTACATTAGCCCATATACAAGACTTGGCATTTCTGTGACATATTTAGGGTAGCCAAGAAATCCTGGTGCCCTGAAGCAATCCCAGTGAAGCAGGCAGTGTTTCTTTGACCCAGTTGAGGCTAACATGCCTTTTGAGGGAGGAGATTGGATTTGTTTTGCTCAAGTTCATCAAAAGGTCTCTGGAATGGAAAGCATTTCTTCCCAAGTCCTTGAAGACTGCTGGTAAATTCTGTCAGGAGGTGACCTTGATAATTCTTTGGGGGTACGTGTTTGTGTTTCTTAGTAATGTTCTGATGTTACCAGATTTCTTACTCTGTCTCAGAAATTAATCTTCCATAGTCATCAAGGAGGACAGCTTTTTAAGGGACATAGACACGATGTCAAACACAAATATGATGCTACCTTTGCTTTTCGAATCAAGGAAATAAAAGATTTGATGTCCACATGTACAGTGTACAGGAACTCCTTAATCTGTGTGAGTTTGGGTCAGATAGAAAAACTCTGGTATGTTTTGTGGTCTTTCTTTGGGATCACAGCCTGGCTGCCTGTTTGTTGGTTGGGGTGCTGAGTTCAGACCAGCAGCTGTAGCCACACTTCATTGGGAAGCTTGTCACAGGTACTGCAGTGGCAAAAAGAGGCACCTTTCCTGGAGCATCCTGTCCTGGGGCCAGTGTTCTCCAGAGTGTTCAAAGTTGCTGAAGCTGCAGTTTCACAGTTCTGACAGCCCTTGGGGGGGACAAGCCCAGAGAGTGGTTACAACTGTGGGTCTGTGTCCCTGCCTAGGTCCACTGGGCTCCTTATTCCCTCTTAAGAGGACACTAAGTCTGGCTTTTATGAGAGGAGAGGGTGCATTGTAACCTCTGACACTGTACTGGAAATCTGATCTTGTGGCTCAGTCTTCAACCCTGTCCACAACTGGTACGTGTGAGCAGATGTGTCTGTGACAGCATTCGCCTGCTGGACTTCAGATAGATGTGTTTTTCTTGCCCTGGAAAATGGGCTTTAGCACTGGGTCTGCACTGACAGACCCCTTTATTGGCAGGTGATGGACATGGGCACCACCTGGAACTACCCAGGAGCTTCCCTGATGGTGAGTTGGACTGTGCCATGGCTTGGGCTGTGCCTGGGGCTGATCTGTGCAAATCAGCTCCTCTTCCTAGTGTGTCTTTCCTTCAGATTTGCTGGCATAGCCCTTTGTATAATTGCTTTGTAATCCAGTTGTGCCAGAATGAAGAGTGCTGCTTTAAATACTTTTAATGGAGAATTGGGTTTTAATTCTAATCCTTGGGTGAGGATGAGGATAACCCTCTGAAGAACTGCATATCCATATTTCTTTTAAATATGGAAAACCAAACATCTTCATTTTCTGACCTAGTAGTAAAGGGAGGGAGGGGGAATAGATGTAAATATTTATAAATAAATATATAAATATTTATAGATCCAGTGTATTATTATCAGCACTTTTCAGGCAGACTGTTCTGGCAATTCATTAAAAGTGTGGCCTTGAATATGTGTATAAATGAGGAATAGTGAGGAGTGCTGGGAGTTGGAAGGAACCTAAGGTCCTCTTATGTTACACGGCAGACACAAAGTAGTTGCTAAACAGTGTCAACAGGACTTGCAGAGCTGCAACCTGATTTTTGTGAGCAAAATGAAGTCATCTGATGGCCCCTCACAAAGAAACATTTTGTGTTATATGAGGGCTGTCAGACATTTAGGTGTTGATCCCCTAAATGTGTTTACTGCAGGTATTTTCCCCTCTCTGTTGTCTTAAGCAAATATCTTCTACCTGCAGAATAATTTATCCAAGCCTGGGAATCTTCTCGAGCTTGTTTGTGCGTGCAGGTTCCACACGGAGTTAGCACAGCAGGTGAGCTGAGAGTGGAATCCCCCTGTGCTGTCAGTAATTGTCACCTCTTGCTGCTCAGGTTTTCTTGTGCAGGGAGGTTCTGTGTCCCAGTGAAGCTGGTTGGAGTTAGTGCAGTGGTACATTTAAACTCCTCAGGGATGATTTGCCTGGTGTTTTGCAAGGGATTGAGCACATTGTAAGTGCTCGGTTTTGCATTGTGTCTCATCCCAGGGTGTGACTTCAGAAGCAGTGTGTGCTGTAGCTTATTGCCTTCAGCTGCTGCCTGAATTCAGTCAAGGCAAATATCGCTCCAAACTCATTAAATCTGTATTTGAGAGTCTTTCCAAATGCAGTACTTGTTTTTTGCTTTTTAAGTCCTGCCCAATTACTAGAAAACTAGTACCCCACCTACATGTTCTTGCCTAAAATGACCTTTTTTCCCCCTTGTTCTTCTTTTTGCATCCAGCAGATTGGAACTTGGGGTTTTTGCACCTATTTCTATGGCAACAGATCATAGGTTCACAAAAGGAAGGATTATTGCCTCTTATCCTAAATAATCCAGGACTTAGCCATTTCTTTTGCATACATTGTGAGAATGAAGGGCTGCTGTTTAATCCTCGGTAGCAGTTCCTCAGCCTCAAGAACTAGAAGTGGAATCCTGTTTGGAAAATGATGGGAAAGTCTGGAGTATACTTGGTCTCTTATATCAGAAAGTTCTTGGAGAGGGTTTGGCATTGATTCTTTTTTTGCTGAAAATCAGTGCTTCCACCTCCTCTGTCATGTCATGGAAGACGCTGAGGGTGAAGTGTGGTGTGTCTTATTTCCATGGATGCCAGAGGATGGGGAACAGCAGTATGGGGGTGGGATTGTGGCATGTTCCACAGCACCTGGGACTTGTGCAATAACCTCCCTCAGTGGGTGGAGTTCAGGCTGTGCTTGCTGTGAAGTCTGTGCTCGAGGAGCACTAGGATTTGTATTTTCATGGTTAAAGAAGCCTACATGTTATACTTGTGCCCCTGTGATAGTGAGATGAAACCAGTACCAACAGGTGTTGCTGTCCATCCTTCACATGGCTGTTTTGACAAGTGGTTTTCTTGGCATTTGGACAGTGGGAGCTCATGGATAAGTCAGACTAACGACCTAGATTTGTCTGCTTTAAACTTTTTTCTTTTTTTGCCTGTTAGTTTCAGGAGTGGTATTTTTAACTCGCATCAGTTACTGTTTTGAGCCCCCTTGGCAGTGAAGAAAGTTGAGCAAGGAATATTCATTTTAGGAGGGGTGTGGGTGTTTGCATCTATTTTGGGGTGAGAATCTGTCACCCAAGTAGCTCCAGCTATTTTCTTTCAGCATCTGGCAGGGAATCCTCAATGCACGCTGGAGTTTCAGTGCTTCATTGCAAGCACTGTTAGTACCTAGACTGGAAGGCCAGGCATTGCCTGAGGGTTGGGTATTCTATGAACCAAGTTTCAAAGCACTGTCTGTGGAAATGAGAGGGAGGAAGAATGTTAATTGTAGGCAACCAGCTACAGAGGTGATGGCTGAGAGAGAGGGGAAGACCCAGCTGCCTGTTTGGTCGAAGGGTGCCAGACAACACTTCTGCAGGATTCAGAGGGTGTTTCACTATGGAATTTTGTAGCAGCAGAGACCATTTCCTAGAGCAGGAAGAAGAGAAGTTGCTCTCAATTTGGGAGCATTTGGATTCCTGTTAGTTGCTTCCCAGGCCCTCCATGAGCCCCCTGCTCCGTTGCTTTCTCTGCCGCTGCAGTGGAGCCACACAGATTAATGCCTTGGTGGAGCTGGGCTGGTGGCAGCTGGGTCCATCTGTCTGCATAGCTGCCATAGCCAGTCCCTGAGCAGCTGCCCTCCCTTGGAAGTGGGACTGGGGCTGGTTCTGATAAACCCAGACAGCTGGGCTGTACTGCCTTGACCTGCCAGGGAGCTCCTCGTGGAGACTGCACCGAGTTTCTGAGACAAATGCAGACCTTCTTTAGCAGGCAGGCCCAGGGCTTGGGCCGCTGGAGCTCTTTGCTCAAACATCTGTCACAACCTGTGGTCACGTCACAGCTGTTTGTATTGGCTGTTGTTTTAACAGGATTGCTTTAAGAAACAAGGGGCTCATGGATCAAGGTCATTAGTCTTTATCCCTTCCGTTCTCAGGGAAGATGTGTTGTTTCCTCAGTTCTTTATGTATCTAAAGCTGTGAAGAAACAGCTGTTAACAGTGCCTGAGCCTTGGGATAATGTGATAACTCTTGCCCTTGAAAAATTTTCTGTCAAAATAGATAGAACTGTAACCATGAGCCCCTTTCCTGGGTTTCTGAGCACCATCATAGGCAGCTCTTGTGGATCGTAACTTCCTTTTCCTGGGATTCTATGTATTAAACATCAACTCTACAGCACCTTTCTCATATAATAACACTGCTGATTATGGAGAGGATTTGCACCCCCAAATGTGACCCTGAATAACAGGGAAGTTGATAATTCAGCATGTTCATAGTATTAGTACAGAATTAATTTCTACTTTAACAACCCACCTTTTCATTGCCAGAGCGACTACTCTGAGTCGTATCACGGAATGGGAAGACTGATTGTTTTTCCAGCCCCTCTTGCCTTTCCCTGTTTGAAAGCCTGTGCTTTCCTGTCCACCAGCTGAGTTCAGTGTTCGTGCCTGACACGTTTCCTCCCCCCAGCAGGAAGAAGCCCACCCACGTGACGGTGAACTGCTGGTTCTGCAACCAGGACACGGTGGTGCCGTACGGGAACCGCAACTGCTGGGACTGCCCCAACTGCGAGCAGTACAACGGCTTCCAGGAGGTACTGGGACGGGCTGGGAAGGTGGGACGGGGCTTTGGGAAATCCCTGCTCCTCCTCTGAGGTGGTGCAGGCCCAGTGCACCTGAATGTCCAGCGGTTTGACAGCTGTGCTGAGCACTGGTGAGCTCAGCAGCCCCTCACTTGATCAGCTTTGAGAAGGAATCCGCTGTAGTGGGATGTGCTGGCTGTGATAATGAAGACAAATTTTCCTCCCTTTCTTTAAAGGGCAAAAGCAGCCTTGACATCTCTCTTAAGAATATTTTTTTAAGTATATGAAACAGTGTAAAAATCCCTGTGCTAGGTGTGATAAAAAGGCTTTAATATAAACACTGCATGCAATTCCACCATTCTGGGTGATTTCTGCTCCTTTCTACTGGACAAGGAGGACGGAAAAATAAAACCTCTGGTTTTTAATGATGCAATCAGATTGTCTTTATTAATAGCCAACAACAGTAAAAGAGTTTAAAATCGTGTCAGAATAGATTTTAGGTGTCAGCACTATATTAAACTATTAGCAATATTGATTAAATAGTAATTAAATTATTAATAATTTAATATTATCAACAATAAATATAGCAGATAATATATAATATATTAACAGTAATTAGAAATATATTAAAATATTATTATTCTCTGGGTTTGTATTCTGTTAAATAGCAAAACCTGTCTTAAGCCAGAATCCAGCACAGCCAGCTGCCTGCAATAGGTGTGTGGAACAGTAGAGGTGGGCAGAAGATTTGAAGCATTTTGTCTCTTTTTTTTTTTTTGCTTATTTACTTTGTTACATAGGTGAATGCATGTAGAGCTCCTGACAGAGCTTAGGGAATCTTATTACCAACCTAGTTTTGATTTTATGATCTAATGTCTGCTTCCCCTCCTGCTTTTTTGTCAGAATGGAGACTACAACAAGCCCATCCCTGCCCAGTACATGGAGCACCTTAACCACGTTGTGTCGGGCGGCACAACCTTCTGTGATCCCACCAAACCACAGCAGTGGGTGAGCAGCCAAATTCTGCTTTGCAAGAAGTGCAACAACCATCAAACCATGAAAATCAAACAGCTGGCTTCTTTCTCACCGAGGGAGGAGGTGAGTGTTTGACCGAGGCATTCCCGTGCGTGGCTCTGCTATTCCTGCTCGATTTAATTCATCCTGCAGCCTTGTAAGCAGGAGAGAGAGCAGTTTTTCAGTGTACTGTGGAATGATGCTCCAATAGTCTTCAGAAGCATTATGTGGCACTCCAGTGCAGAGGAGGTTACTGATTAGTGTTGCACATTTACCTAATTCTACTCCAAAGCCAGAATGTAATGCCCTGTTCTAGATGAGCGCTGGGAGTTGAAGCTCGAGCCCAAAACATTGCTGAGATCAGCTTACAGCTCCAGTGCTTCCCATGGCCAAGCTTGCAGGATTTGGCAGGCACAGCTGCCCACTGGATACCTTGAAGCCTTAACAGATTCTGTTTTTCCTGGGGCCCTGCCTGTGCTGCTCTGCATTATTAGTGCAGTGGGAGAGGAATCCTGTGCAGCCACATAATTTCCCTGGTCAGGCATCTGTGCCTAGGAGGGCAAAGGGAATTTTACAGTTACAGCAACAGGATTTCCTGCTGAGCAACTTCTTGGCTTTCCCACTACTTAATATGCATGGAGGATGGGATAATGGGGTTTTTCCTTCACAGTTTTATGCCTCCCCAACGTTTCACACAGAGAATTTAGTGCTGCACTCCTTAGCTTTCAACCATTGTCAACAAGCCTTGGGGTTAGACTGTGCTGTAGTGGGATGTGTTCATCCTCTGGTTTTGCCTAATCCAGTCTACTTTGTGTAATTGTAATGAGTTTGATCAGGATGACTCCCAGAGAACAGATTTAAATTTGATCATGCTTAATGAGAGTATCTTCAGCTGGTGCCCTTTTCTCAGCTTTATTTCTAGTCCCTGCCTCTTGCCAGACCTATGCAGTTCCTCAGAGCACTGCCTCTGGCCTCTTTTTAGGCATTCAGTGACCTGCAATGTCTTTGCCAGCTGAGAAACACAGGACTGTGTTATCCAGCATGGTTGGATAAGTGTGTCAGTGGCAGCAGTGGCCTCTTGCAGCATTGCTGGCCTGTTCCAGTGAGGGATGACCCTGCTGCTCCTGGTCTCTGCCATGGGATTCCTTCTTGGTTCCAAAAGATGGAGCCTATGGAACTGCTGGAGCAAACTCTTGGGGAGCCTCAATGCACCATCCTGCTTCCAAAGAAGCTGCATGCTTTCAGCTGACACTTTTGGTGCAAGGATCTTGGAGTTAGAAGAGCCCTAGTAGCTTCTGTGATAAGTGATGTGTCCGCTGCAGTGACACTGAAAAACCTACTTACTGACTGTTTTTACCAGTGTTATTAATGATTTGTGGAGCTCATCTCAGTAAGGCCTCCAAACAGGGACAGCCTTCAAGTTTGGGGCTGATTTTTGAAAGGAACTTATCTCTTTCTCCAACACAGTGGAGTGAAGGGGCAACAGGTATTTTGTGTCCCCTCATTTGAGGAGGGGAAGAGCAGTTTTAGTTTCTTGTCTCACCTCCTGTGTTGAGTTCATAAGGTCTCAACAAAGATGGCAAAATAGGACCACAGAAATTCAGCATCCTGGAATTGGGCCACAGCAGCCTTCTGCAAGGCTTTTTTCATCTCTTCTGGGACATGGAGGCTGGGTCAGCTGTGTGTGAAGCTGGTTGCATGCCTGGCCTCCAGCTTGGTTCCTCTGGAGACCGGAGTCACGCTTTGTCTGCCTGCCAGGAGCAAATATGATAACAGGTGAGGGACCTGCAGTGCTCACCTACGTTTCCTCTCCTGTTCTCTCACCAGGGCAAGTATGATGAGGAGATTGAGGTGTACAAGCACCACCTGGAGCAGACCTACAAGCTGTGCCGCCCGTGCCAGGCTGCTGTGGAGTATTACATCAAACACCAGAACCGGCAGCTCCGCGCGCTGCTGCTCAGCCACCACTTCAAACGCCGCGAGACAGACAAGGCCTACGCCCAGGTGAGGGGGCTCAGGAGGAAAGGCAGAGAACTTGATCTCACTGCACCTGGGTTTGCTGCTGGGAAAGGGAGGCAGCAGCCTTGGGGCTCCCTAAACCCGGGAGCTGCTTCTGTACCAGCAGTTTAGACGAGTACAGCGTAGCTACTGCAGGTGCTCCTGATGTTAGTTTGAGGTTTTCCTCCTGCTGGTGTCATTCAGGGCAGTTGCCAGAAGGCAAGTCTAATGTAATAATAACAGAGTGGAAGGAAAATTATGGGACAGGCAGAGAAGGGGAGGTAGGGAAGGCAATTTATGGCTGCAGTGCAAGAAACTACAGAGTACAAGGGGAAAAAATTAAAAAAGAACGATGGGAAGTAAATTATGACATTCTCCCTGCCTGACCTTGGCTTCTGCTCATAGCTCTGCAATTGCTCCCTGCTAGTCTACAACATCCCATATGGTGTCAGCCCAGTACAGAGACTTAGAAGGACCTGAGCAAAACAGTCCAGTAAACCATACAGTCTGGAAGTGTTTCTTAAAGCACCATTTCAAAACCTTCCTGTAGTTCCTTCAGGCTTCTGACAAGGTGTTTCTCCCTTCTTCTGCAGAATTTATGTTCATCCTCCTCTTCTGCTTCCATAACCACACCAGCTCAGGTGATACTCCTGCGCTTCCTGGCCTTCCTCAGCTGCGCGTTCCTGGTCCTGATGGCCTTGTACGGGTCAGGCAACCCCTTCTCCCTCAGCACAGCAGTCCCTGCTCCCGTTCCCTCTGGCCCAGCGTCCCTTCAGAACAGGACTGGCTCAGCCTCCCATGCAGACGTGGGCAATGACACCTGGGTGAGGGTGGCAGGATGGAGGGAGCTGCTCCAGCTGCTCCCGGAGCACGTGGTGGAGAACCTGAGCGCCGTGTGGGCTTACGGGAAGAATCACCAGATGGCCGTGGCTGTGCTGGGGCTGTTCACCTGCCTGCTGGCCATGTTCCTGGCTGGGAGGATCAGGTGAGTGTGCACTTGGCTCCTGGTTCACTTCAAGGAAAACTATATTATATTGGAGGTCTTTGGTCCAGTCTCGACTCGGTGATCTAGGGATAAACATCTGCCAGAATGGCACACGTAGCACTGGGTGACACAGCTCTTTGCCAGCAGGCTGGGTGGAGACAGCAGAGCTTGCTTTGGATCTGTGCCTTGGTTCATTCAATTTAAGCTTGAATTACTGTGAATGAAGAGTTCCCTGTGCAGCTCTGGTAGAAAATGGAGCTGCTCTACTCAGGTTCTTACACAGCAATGGGCAGGGCTGCACCTAGTCAGAGGCAGTACATAACCTGCTCAATCCATACCCTTCCCTCCTCTTCCCCACCTTCCCTCTCCCTCCTCAGCACCGAGGGAGTTGGCTGGTGTTCAAACTCTCGTTTTGGTTTTTTCTTTTCGTCGCAGACTCCGGAGAATCGACGCGTTTGCCTCGGTGCTGTGGTTCGTGGTGATGAGCCTGCACGTGGCTGAGAGGTACCTGAAGATGGAAACCCCCAGCTGGCTGGACACGGCCAAGTTTGGCACCACGTCCCTGTGCTGCCTGGTGGGATTCACCGCGGCCGTGGCCACGCGGAAGTCGACGGGCCAGCGGAGATACCGGCCCCGAAGGTCAGAGCCAGAGCAGTGACCCTAGGGGAAGGAGCAAAAAAAGCCTTGTGAACTCTTTGCGACTGGTGCTTCTCTCTCCTCTTTTTATTTTCCCTTCTTCTGTTTCCTTGTTTTGTTTTGGTTTTTTTTAAATCAGATAAGCAGTGAAGATCTCTTCTTCCTTTTTATATATATCTATATATATATATATATATTTTAATTTTTTTCCCATCCTTGCTTACCACTGTGCTAGCTACTTGGAGCACTTCCACTGCTAGCCATGGAAGCCTCTCCTGCTGCCTCCATTCTCCCTTTCTCCTGCATCCTACATCAGCAGTGCAAATATCCAGCTTCCCCAAAGCCAGTTCTTCCAGCAGCTGCCCCACAAACTGCTCCGTGAATGCAACCTCCTCCCCCTTCTGCTCCTCCAGCCAAAGAGATTCTGGCTCCTCCTGTCCTCCCAGTTCTTCTCACTGCCTCTCCATCCTTAGCCACTCACAGAGGAACCCTCTGCCTTGATCCACCAATGGGGCCCAGGCCACCTTCACTTTTCTAATGGTGCTGGTCATTTTAACTTGGAACTGATGGGAACTTGCCTCTGGATTTGGAGCCCTCGTAACGTGTGCTGTGGTAACGCCCAGGCATGCGAGGAGGGGCCCACACGTAGCCCATAACCTGGTTCTTCTTGCCTTCCATAATGTAGCATCACTTACCTGCATGTTCTCTAGCTCTGCCCTTCTCCTGACTCCTGTTTTATATGGAGAAGTGTCCTTAAGTACTGTTGACTGGAACTCCAATAATTTATTCAAAAGGGTGCTTTACAAGATCATGTAGCTCAGGGTGTCTGATTTAATACCTGAAAGTATTCAGCTGGTTGAGGCTAAATTTTCAGATCTACCAGTGGCTGTTGCTTTCAATGCCAGTTTTCTTTGGGTTTGTTACCCACCCACCCACTCCCTGAGGAACATCTGTGTACAAGCACAAGTGGATAAAAATGCGTGTGTTCCTTCACTCCTATAGAAGAAATATGTGATAACAACCTCATGCTGTGATACATGGTCAGCTGGCAGTGTTCATCACTACTTACTCAGGCAGTGTTTATTGCTGAGAACACAGATAGAAAGGATGTGCCAAAGGAAGGGGTGGGAGCTCTGCTGTGGGACTGCATGGCAACAGAGGTGGATTTTTGGGGTTAGTTGGAAGGGTTCTCTTTTGAAGTCTGGCATCGGTGCTGATGCTGTTGAAAAAAAGGGGTCTGGAAATTGTGATTTGTAGCTGAGTGCCTGGCAGTCCTCTGCTGAAAGCTGGGGTAACTGGGTGTTACTGTGTGGGGAGGGAGGAAGGAGCTTCCAGCTGCTTGGGTTTTTGTGGGATTGACTTGTTGGGGCCTCTTAGCATCAGCAGTCTGAATATCCTGCACTGTCATTTGCAAGACAGTCCACTGAGTTTCTCTGATGGATTTGGGTCTTCCAAGAGGAAATAGCACTGTTACAGAAGATTTGCTATTTTCTTCTGTTCCAAATAGCACAGTGGAACTTGCCACACTAACAGTCTGATATAAATTAATTGGATGTCGTGATCTTCCAGTGTATAAACTCTAAAATAATCAGAGTGGAGCTCTCACTGTGAAGTATCTGCAACTCCTGCTGAAACATTCAGACACTACTGGGTGCTGCAGATGCTGGTGAAACCAGAGAAGCTTTTTTTAAAGGAAACAAAAGCTTTCATAGCTTTTCTTAGTTACTGCTCTTCCAACCTGTGATCGTTGTGAAAGCACAAAGGTGACACTGTGAGGTTCTTTAACAATAAGCCAGGCTGAGTGTGCCCTGGGAAGGTGCAGCTCCTGGCTGAAGGACTGTGTGCCTGTAACTTAGCAAGGGAAGGGGCCACACAAACCTGCTTCCCTTCTGGGCTCTCCTTTGGAACGTTTTTCCAGTGCCTTCAGACAAATATCCACCCCCAAGCTCACAGAACTCCTGTCTCCATTCTGGTGCTTGTGAATGATGGTGCTCTGAGGGTTGTTTACTTATTTACCCACTAAAGGAACCCAGCACCTGCAAAGTCTGGTTCCATCTTCCACCTTCCCATCACTTACCAATCCTGACCCAAAATGCTTGTCTTCCAGCTCACAGGTTGCTTCTTATTCTAGTCTCAGACTTTCAAAATTATGATAATAATAACCATTTTGTCCCATTTTCTGCAGGGGCACTTGATTGAATTTAGAGAGTTGTTTCAAAGTAAATACTACAGGAAGCCACATGACAGGGGGGAAAAGCCAGCAGAAGTGTGCTGGGTCAGACTTTCACAATCCCTCTGGTGCCTCTTTCCTACTCTCCCTTAGGAGATTTAATAGGAAACATTCCTTAAAAATCCAGTCTTTTTTCTCTGTACCTATCAACCTGTTGGAGCAGGAAGCAGTGTTAGGACAGGAAGTAATAAGCTCATGAAAGGATGGGAAATGGCAAAGGATAAAAGCCCTAAAAAAAGCCAAAAAGGGGGACAATTCGTGTGCTATCAACTGTTTACTCAGCACTCCTTTCAGTGCAGTGATCCCTGGAAAACTCCTCACTGCAGCAGCCCTTCCAACACCACTGTTCTGCAGCCCATCTGCTGTTCAAAGTGGGGTGGGCAAAGCCACCTGATGAGATGGGCACTGGCACCAAATCCAGTGCCAGCTCTGCCATCCTCTGAAAAAGCTGCACAGAAAACCCAGGACACCCTGAGCTGTCATGGCCATTAAGTGAAATAAAGACACCAGACTTCTTTTTCCTTCCTCCCTTTTTCCTGCTTCAGGACTTCAAAATTTTCCTCCTAGAGTTAAACGTAGGAAAAGACTGATGTTCCTATTGAGCTGCGATTGTCTTCTGCACTTACTGCACAATTTGGAAGTTGGAAGTTCCTCTTGCTGCTCTCCTGTGAGGTGTGTCCCAGTGATGGGAGAAACCTCATGTTTGAAGGATATACTGAGGCTGCTGGCAGGAAGAGGGGCGTGGGGATGGCCATGGCAGTGTCAGGCCTGATTTCTATCAGCAATTATCCCTTTTTTTATAAGAATGAAATTAATCTGCTCAAATTTTCTTGCCCAGTAGCGAGGAATCTCTCAGTGGCAGCTTCTAAAGATGCTTGGCAGCCTCTTAGGATGCTTTGCTTCCAGGAGCTGAAAGTCAAGGCTTGTTAAACTTCTCTGTGCCCTGTTTCATGTGCCCTCCTGTCTCCTGTTTTCCTCCCATCTCTTTAGGAGCACTTTGGGTTTTCTCCTTTAATTTAAACTTGCCCCATCTTTGAGCCCCCTGAGGTCAGGCACCTTTTCTGATATTTTTCTCTTCAGTGTTATGTTGTTTGACCATTCCTGTTCTTTTCTCTTATTCTCTTGTCTTTTTCCCTGTGCAGTGCTGGGATGGGATGGGGAGGATGCAACTAAATATTGGGAACAGGCAGTTGGCAGAACTGTGGGAAGGAGTGGGATTTACACTGTGAAGCCTGAATAGTCCTATTAAGGAATATATTTAGCTCTGTTTGCACAGCAAGTGCAGACCTACACTGAGTTTAAAATCTTTTAATCTGGGAGATATGTTAACTGCAATTGAATACAAGCAAGAAATCCATTTGTCTTCGCTTTATGCAGATTAATACTAGTGAAGTATATTTACAAGTTGCACTAATTTATATGTCAGAACATCAGAAGGCTACTTTGTTTTGTGGCCAAGCTGTACAACTGATCTCTGTGGTGCTTTGTTCATGATTTACTGAAGAACTTTTGGACTTGTAATTGGAAACATTTCATGGGTGAAACAAAATAACACATGTTGAAGTGGGGTTCAGTTTTAATGCCAAAGAAGCTTTTGTCTGTACTCAGGTGTCAGCTTATTTCCCCCCCTTCTTCGTGCCTCAGCATGTCTGTGCTGCTGCTTCCCAAAACACCAGAAAACCTCAGAGCCTCAAAACCAAACTTGCAGCAGTTGAATTTTTGGTCCTTTAGAGACTCTGATGCTGACAAGTCTCCTCTCTTTCTGCTTCTCTCACATGGTTGGTCTCTCATACTTTTGCTGATGGATCTTTTAGGGGAAAGGGAAGAAAGGAGGAGAAGGGTGGGATTTTCCAGAGGTGTTCTGATTTATAAACTGTAGCATTCAAGTAGTACCAGTTGTGTCTCAGACAACGAGGCCTGTAGAAGATCAATTGTGAGTTTGCAGTATTTTACTCTGGACTGTTCCTGGGGAAAAAAAAATTAGGTAAATCACTACTGCCTTTACTGAGCCTGTTCTTGCCATACCTGATTTAATGCCAAATAGACTGTTGTAGACACTGCCATGCTGTAGGTTCTGTATGGAAGGTGCTTTGCATTTTTCACCCGAGGTTCAATTAGGATGTAGCAGTTGGATATATCACCTGACTGCATGATTGCTTCTCCCACAGTGGATCCAGCAGAAGGAAATGTGTGCTCCCAGCTCAGGTATTGTGGTGCAAGTCCATACCCTGAGCACAACCCTCCCATCCCTGTGCAGCTGAGGTGCTATATTGTGTGACACACACACGGGGACACATTTCCTCCTGCTGGGTGGGACAAGAGCTAACAAAGGGCTGGTAGCTAATGAACACAGCTGGCACAAAAGCACCCAGGACCACTTGGTCAGTGCTTTGAGCTTCTGTTTTCCATTAGCTGGACTCTTTATTTCAGGCCAGAGAGGAACACTGTGGTAACCTGTGGTTACGAGATGCAGCTTTGAAGCCTGAGGGCTCTCCCAGCCATGCAGGCCAGAGCGTGCAAACATTTTAACAGTATTAGAGGGTTTTAGCCCAAAAGCCCCTAATTCAAGGTGCTGCTCTTTCACACTGGCCATATGCTGGTGTCTGGACCAGAGGATGGTACAGCAGAATGGAGCTGAGGGTTGTGTGTCACTTGAAATCAGATCTGCTCCATGCCCAAGTGCCTGACTGGCTCTCAGTGGTCATGGCTCATCTCCAACTCAAAATCTTGTACCCTGCCCAGCAGAGCCAGATTTATAAAGGGGCTGATGTGGGTTCTTTAAGTGCCTTTCCCTGGACAAGATCTGTGACAACACTGTGTTGCTTTGCTTCAGTGGAAGCCCCGAGGCTGCAGCGTGGGACAGCAGTGCCTGTGTGTGTGCCAGGCCAGGGCTTCTGTCCCTCATCTGCCCCCAGTGAGTGTGACAGGGCATAAGAGGACACTTGGGCTGCACTCTTAAATTTCTGAGCAGCTCTGCAGTCTCTAAGGGGGTTGAGGGAGAACCCAGAACTAGCAGCCAAATCAGCACCTCTGCTGCTGCTACTTCTGAAGCCCTCACTGACATCAGTGCATGCAAACTGACACCTTTGTAGCCCTTTACCCTTCAAAATACACTATATTTATATCTCATTTTTTCTATTAACTCCTCCTTTCCTGCACCTGTGCTGTGCATGCCCTAGTGAGCTGAGCTGGGGTGTGGCAAAGGGTGAGGACATGAGGGGAAGATAAAAACGGTGTAGTGGCGTTTGATTTTGGCTTGGTGAATATTCTTCAAGTACTCTGAAATTATGTGAAGCTTATAATCATGCTTAGATACTCTAGGAACTATGTATTGATGTACTGTGGACAAAGTATTTATGCTCTTATAAAAATTAATATAATTCATAGCCAGATGGTTACTCCAGACTGACTGCACTCCTGGAAGCAGGGAGCTGTATTGTGTGGCTTTGCTTTGATTTTTAAAGAGATGCTTTTGAAAATGCATGCTGTCACATATAACCTGCCAGGTCATTCCAAGTGTGCTGTCACCTGTGAGTACACTTGGGGCCACTTTGAGCCGTGGCAGATGCTCTCCTGTGAGAGGGACAGTACTCAGTCCTGAAGTCATCCCCTGTAAAGCCTCATCTGGGACCAGAGGGATCGAGTGCACAGGCAGGAAGAGGTTCCCTGGACATTTTTGTCATGCCAGCAAGTCTGGATTTGTGTAGACACAGGACCTTTGTGCCACCTGTAGGAGGGAAGGCAAAATTGATGCCAAACATCTGTACTCTAGAAGGTGTTAGTGCAGGACCTGGCAGCTGGAGCATTTTCAGCTCCAATTCAACCCTCCTTTTTCATCCAAAGCAGGACAACATGTAGGAGAGAAGAATTCTTACTCTTGGCAGCTAAAGTTTCTAGCTCTCTTAAATCACATATCAAAATATTAATGTGTCTGAGACCTGTGCCCTTTTTAATCATTATTCTCCCTTCTCCCTGTGCCTGTTTTTTTATTCATATATTGCTCTTTACTCCTGATTCTTGACTGTAGGCACAGGTTGTGGCCCTGGCTGATGAGATGGAGCAGAGCAGAGCAGTGCCTGGTCAGGGCACAGCAATGTGGGGTAACAGGGAGCTGTTCTGCACCCCCAGTGCCTGGGAACAGGGTGCAGTTGTACCTGGAGAACTCACAGCTCAGTTGTGATGGCACATTAAGTCCAGAGTTAACATTTTATCCCCTGACTGCCCCTGGCAGGTGAACCTGGGCAAACACCACGAGCTGCCTGCCTGTGACTGCATCTTACCTTCCTCCTTCATGGACTGAATTCCCTGGCACAGGAGTGGGTCCATCCAGCCCTGTAGTCTGACCTGCCCCATGCCCTCCCATGTCTCTCTCTGTCCCAGGATGCAGCATCTCTGGTTAAAATGTGAATTAAATAGGCACACACGTAGGTGGTGTCTTTGGATAAGAGGGAGGTGTTGGGACAGAGGAGGGGAGGCTCTGCTGGCAGGAGGTGTCTCTTCAGGACCGTGTACAGTCCCATGCCGTGTAATACTCTTATTTAACCTTCTATTTATTTATTTTTGAAGTATCCGTGTAGCAGAGTTGTGCCCAACTGTCTAGTAACGCTGTGATCATTGTAAACACTAATTAAGATGCCCAATTTCTGATGTTCACAATATCAAGTTCTGAAATAAACGGCTTCCGGGCCCTGACTATTTCCACAAACTGTCTGACTCCAGAGCCTTTTTGTTACTTTTTTCACTGTTACCAGCCCCATTATTATCACATGCACAAGTGGCTTGGAGCAAAGGCACAGCTCTAGTGCTCCATTCCAAGGCTTGGGATGTGGTTGCTTCTTGCCTTGTGATCCTCTTGATCTCCTCACCTTTTTTTCATCTGCTTCTGAAAGAAGTTTTAGTTCAGCTGCCTAATTCTCAGTCATGAAGCACATTCCCAGGACAGCTTTTAGCAGCATCAAGCCCTCTTGACATGGCAGTGGCAAACACTAAGGAGAAAAGTGCAGGGAAAAGGAACAGGATTTTGCACACTTTGCAGGAATTTGTTCAGAACAGATCAATATTTAAGCCAGTTTTTAGTCAGCATTCAACCCTAAGGCCTTAATATGCTATGCTTAAAATTCTTCAGCTCCTCTTTGCTAACCAGAAAACTTCTTTTTCTGGATGGTGCAAGGCAAATGATTCCTCAGCTGCCCTGAGGATCTGACTGCACAACTTGGTGAGGTTGAGAAGTGGGGCTGTTGAGCAGCAGAGCCATTGGAAGACTGCTCCAAAACAGTTACAATCAGGATTGTGAGAGATTGTGGTTATGGGTGATAAATGACTGTAACATCTTCCAGCCTGTTGAATGAAAAACTGCTGCAGCAAGGAGCTGTGTAAAGTTGGGTCCTTTAGCCCAAAGACACAGAAGGTGCAAAGTTAGGACAAAAGGGCTGCATTGTTCAAGGGGATGCTCTGATTTGGCCCTTCCCAGCCATGGCACAGTGAGTGGTAGGTATCCCTCTTTCTCCTGTGATTCATATCATAGTCCTGAGCTGCACTTCCAGTCCCCTTTCCCACTCATTTTCCCTTACAAAGCTGAGATGGACACGTACATCTCTGTGTGTGTGTATGTGTGTTATGGGGCAGATGTGGATGTGGGAGTGCACTAAAGGGAAGCACAACACCCTTCCCAGGTCCTGGAACCTGAAGAGGTTGGGCAGTTTCTGCTGCAAGACTGAGGAGTCCCTTGCTGCTGTTAGAGGCAAGTCCTGCTTCCAAGATGTTGTTCAACCTGATTAAGCTGGTCAGGATTGTTATGTCTGCCTCATATGAGCAGATAAGTGGTTTTATAAGATATTTTAAATTGTAATCTTAATTCTAGACTGCTTCTTCTGGACGTTTTAGCACAGCATGATATTGGTGCACCAGCTCTTTAATCTCTGAGACAGAATGGAAGGTCCATAAATCACCTCACAGCACAAGGCTGAGATATGTATATTCCTTCATGCTCTGATTTACTCCTGGCTTCCCTCTGACAGAAGAAAAGCCATGTTGCTGCTCTCATCTGTCTCATCTGTTTCCATCAGAAGTGAGATTAAGCCTCCAAATATTGCAGCCTAATTTTATTTCCATTTAAAAATATATGTTAGCTCTTCATCATGATTTCTCTGACAATTATACTACCTGTTTCTGACAAAACAAAACTCTTACAGGAGATCAGAGATCTGCTCCCTATTCTAGACTTTCTTTCTTGTATTTTCATTCCACTGTTAAAAACAGTACAAAATTGCCATACTTTCAGCACTGCAACCTTTGTGGAATACTCATTTGGATGGTTTGAGGACACAAGTGAGACTCCAAAGCTGACTCCTCGTTTCTGAGGTGATGTAGTCAACTGAACTGTACACATAGACTAAGATCAGTACGTGATTGCAAGGAGGAATAGAAAGCAGGTAAAAATAGGAGTAAGTTTTTAACAGATTGTTCAGCTCAGGTTGATTTTTTAAATTTTAAACCACTGCAAAGTTAGGTGATGAAATGGGGGTCGGAAATTAATTGCATAGTTTGTTTGCATATAGCAATTGAGTGTGGTAGTACTAACAGTGAAAACAATTAGAATACAAAGTCCTCTCATACACCAGAGAATAGAGGTCAGTTTATGTCTGTAGCACTCAAAAATCAATAACTGGTACAGGTATGTTTTGTCTGTTCTCTCTCCTCTTGTGTTCTCAGCCTGCTCACTCTGTTCTGCAACTCCCACTCTTTCACTTGGAAAGAACCCATTGAAAACAACTCACAGACCTAGAAATACAATTGCCATTATTATTTCCAATTTAAATTCTTTCCAGGCCCTGTAACAGAGTTTTAGGCACTAGGAGCCAGACACTTCCTGGAGTGTGTGCTGCAGGGGCACAGCTCCCTGGAGCAGCTGTGCTAGTACATACTTGGGGCAGAGAAACTAAATGTAGTGGTTTAGGCCTCACTTTAGGATTTTCCCATCTGTAAAATGAGGGTAGTGAGTCTTTATTACCTGACAGAAGTATAAATAAAGGCAAATGTGTTAAGGAGGTCTGAATGTTGGTTTTAAAACAGAGCTCTTGTGCTGAAATCCTCATCCAAGTAGCCACTAAAAATCCTTTTCTCTATGCTGACATCAGAGGTAAGATGTTAATTCTGCTTTCTAAGGACAAAAAAAATAGTACATAACTACTTGCTTCCCACAGCCATGACATGTCTAAGCATGCAGTTGGCATGTGCACATAGCAGACATAAGATGTGCTCTGTGTACCTGGATTTTTTAAAGCATTCACGTGTCTCTAGGTAATTTTCTCGTCCAGGGAGAGATCCAAGGTACTGTGCCTATTTGCACCTGAGTTCCTAAACTGTTCCACCACCTTTTCCACCCTGTGCTGTGGGACAGGTCAGTGCACAATAATTTGAGTCAGGCTGAGCAGTTCTTCCTTTCCCAGCTTCAAAGTGTGGGAACGTTCCTGTGAACTCTTCAGCGTTCTGCATCTTGCACTCCTGCACTGAAAAGTCAGTCCAAAGCTGGTAACAAAACAAGTGTTCATGCAACTACAACTGAGAGAGGCAGTGACTGGAACTTCTCCTTGCTAAATGTCTGTCATGTGTGTCCTTTGCAGGTACCTCTCTGGGGATTCCATGACTCTCTTTCCCAACGGCACTGGGACAGCCTTCCCTTCACCTGCCACGTCTCTCTTTGTCCCAACACCACCCAGCCTCCTCCACCTGACAAACCAACAGCTCTTCAGGTCCCCACGCAGAACTTCTTCATCCTCCCTCCCTGGACGTCTCAACAGGGCCCTGTCACTGGGGACCATCCCCTCCTTGGCCAGGGCAGGTGAGTGGGCAGGAAACTCTCCCAGCAGGAAAGGCAGTGGAGTGGTGCAGTCAGAAGGAAATGGGCTGTGAGGCATCCACACCTCACAGTCCTGTTTAGAGGTGGCACAGAGGAGTCTCCAGCATTAGGCATTTGGGTTTTGGCATTAAGAAGTTGCACAGCAGGCCATTGCCATCCTGGGGAAGCAAAAGCCTCCCTGAGCGCTTGCCTGCTGAAGGTTTACTGAAATCCAGGGGCTTCTCCAGGCATTTGTGTCAGGATGACACAATCCACAAGGTTATGTGTGGGAGAGAGGCAGAAGGGGCAGTTAGACATGGGAATGGAGAAGAGCAGCTTGGGAAGGGATTGGAGCAGTGGGATAACTGATCTGGCAGGACCCATCCCTCCCTTCGAGCTGCTCTGTTACTTTGCTTCCTTTGCTCCAGCTGAAGGAGCAGAGGTGAAGGCAGGCCCTGCCCTTGGTCTGGAGTTGATTTGCATTAGCAACACTACTGAAGCTGCTTTAGGGACCCCATTTCCTCCTGTTTTTAAGGGCTTTGTGTGATCCAGGGAAGATTTATAGGCCTAAGGAAAGCCTCTCTCCCAGTAACTCAGTAACCCCTCTGTTCTGCTGTGCTTGAACCCAACAGATGGGCAGTAGTGTTCCAATGCACTTCTCCATGCAAGGAAAGCCAAGCTTTGCTGTGTCTCCAACTGATTGCCAGAAAGTCAGAGGCCAAAATGTGGCAGTTTTCTAGGACAGCACTGCAGTCCTGCAGGGATTTTGTAGTTCATTCCACATTTCTCTAACTCACCCTGCCAGCAGTTTTGCCAGATCTAATAAGAGCAGGACAAAGACCAGCCACACAAACCTTCCAGCAGTGTGGCAGCTTTTGGCACAGCCTGAACCCTCCCAGCTCCCTGAATGCCCTGGAAGGGCAGGTGCAAGTGCTCCAGACAGCTGGGATGGGTGTCTGGGTTTTATTTACTGAGGTGCAAAGCCAGACAGTCTGGAGAAAACAGGCTGTTGGGGCTAAAGGGTTTTTGCAAGCATCAAGGTTTTCAACTTCCAAAGCTGTTTGCCAATAGTTCTGTAAATCAAGTGCCTAAGAAAAACAATTTATTTAAGCTGCCGTGTTTTGTTTGTGGCACTTCTGCCTGACAGGAGTACTTTTCATGGTTTGGGTTTTTCTCCCTGTCTTTGCTTTTATTTATTTTTATTTTCATTTAGTATGGCTACCATGCCATAATAAACCTGTCAGTTAGATGGGAATTCATCTCAGCATCCATCTTTTCATAAGGAAAGGATATAACCATATCTTCACCTTCTTCCTTTTTAAGTAGTGGCAAACCAGGCTGTGATATAGTCACAGGGCAGATAATCTGAATTTGCTGTGTATTTAGAAGTCATCTGGCAGCTTTGCTAGGAGCAGGTGAAGAAGTCACCACCTTTGGAAGCTGCCCCATCCTTCTGTTATAACCTTCACAACTAAACTGTGTTCATGTTTGTCATCTACTCCTGTGCAACATGAGATAAATCATTATAAGCCAGTTCTGCAGTGCCAGAGTCCACTGGCAAATGTGCTGCTTCAGATATTTTGGAGAGGGATGTGTAATTTAGAGCCTGCACAGATCTGTTCTGCTGCAGCTGGGAAAAGTGGATTATTCTGCTGCTACCATAGAGCCAACCCAGGAAAACAGGGACATTTTTCCTGCCTGCATTTCCCACCTGTCCCCTTGTGAGATGATGCAGTTGCATTTCTGGAGGACAGACCTCCAGCAGTTGAGCCAGTTGCCTTCAAATTGTTTCATTTTTGCTTTTAGATTCTGGCTACTTGTTCAGTGGAAGTCGACCAGCCTCACAGTCCTCTCAGTCCAAGGATTCTCCAACATCAGGTACTGCACTGGGCCTGCCAGGCCAACTCTCTGCAGGATTTGCAGTGAATGGCTTGAAACACGTGGCTGAATTCTTTCCTCCTTGCTCACATCCCAGTGAAAATGTCAATTGTGCTGTTAGAAATAGTGCAGGGAGAGCCCCAGCTGAGAGTGGGACTGCATTAAAATCAGGTGCTGTATGTGTTAGATGTCCTTCTCCCCGGGAGGGCTCACAGTGAGACAGAACAAGGAGCCCTTCCCTGCTTAGAGCTGAGTTGAGCCTGCTTTGATAGGAGACTTCAACTGTTCCTAGGGCAGTTTTTTTATTGTGCTTTCCCAGCCCCAGGAACTGCTAATTTAGCAGCCCTGGCTGCTCTGCCCTTTTGCTCCCACATCCCCATGATCTGTGTGTTGCTTCTCTGACCCAGATGGATCCCTTGGCTGTTTGTGCTGCTGGAAATGTGGTGACAGCCTGGTTTGACCCCCACAGCCACTTGTGCAAACCTCCTCACATCCCCGTGCACCTTCCCAACAGCCTCTGAAGGACATGCCAGAGCAATCCATTTACCTGCAAAATGTGTGATGGAGGCTCTCCAGGATGGACACAAGGGAGCAAAGAGAAAGCTCACCAGGCTCCTGATAACCCAATTCCTGAGTCATTCCTGAGTGTACTAAAGTGCACGTGGAATTCCAGGATGCTCTGAGTTGGAAGGAAGCCACAAGGATCAGAAAGTCCAGCTCTTAAGTGAATGGCCCATACAAGGATCAAACCTTGGTGCTATCAGCACCATGCTCTGACCAGCTGAGCTCATCTCGGGTTTCTCCGTGTTTCTCAGTGTGGGAACTCAAATAAAGAATTTCAATACAAGATACATTGGACGTTTGCAACTCCCATTCCTTTTTCTTGTAGAACTGCTAAAGAAAACTGTGCCTGTTGTATTTGGGTGATGATCTCGTGGTTTCCCCTCTGGGGATGTCTCCATTTCAGAGCACTTCTCCCTGCTGTCCGGCAGCTGCGCTCCCTCCCGCATCCCCTCCCCAGCACCGTCCGTGGCCGGATCTGTGACTTCCAGCTCGGGATCCCTGCGGTTCCGCCGGCCCCTCATCAGCCCTGCCCGCCTGAACCTGAAAGGACAGAAGCTGCTGCTGTTCCCATCCCAGAATGAGGCCCTGCTCACCCCAACCAGCTCAGAGGAGCACACCCACTCAGACAGCAACATCTTTGCCCCCGAGCTGTCCAGCTTCCCGAGGAAGAGCCTCAGTGAGCGGGGAATGCCCGGTATGCTGGCAGCCTCCTGCACTCCTGGGAGGGCACTGGGAGGAAGGAGTTGGCTTGCAAGCACAGCCCTGCAACATCTAGGCCACAGTTAGATGGGAAACCTTCAAGAGAAACCCATGTGGTGGTGGTGGTGGGCTACCAAACTCCCTTCAGAATCCACTGGCCTGAGGAGCCTCTTGGCTGCCCAAGCAGATGTCCTTTTCTTCCTGGTGGTGCCCCAGGAATGCTGCTGCCACTGCCTTTACCCTGGCTTGGAGAGCTCCTTTAGCCATGGGTGAGGTGGTGCTGCTCTGGGCAGTGTATGAGACACGTGCAGGCAGTTCTGCTGCACAGCACTGAAATTTGCCTTTTGCTTCCAGTTCCTGTCCATAATTTTACCAGGCAACCATCCATTACTCAAGTCTAGCTGTAGTCTGGTAGCTTTTGCTACTTTTGGCTTCCACTGGTGCCTTTTGAATTTTCCTCTCTTCTCCTTGCAGATATGAGATCTGCTATGGAAGGAGGGAGTATTTGCAGTGATAATTCCATCAAAAAGGAGGATCACTCATCACACTCATCTACCTGTGTGGTAGACACAACTACTAAAGGGGAGGATTTGGCAGGCTGGAGAGGTAAGTGCAAGTCATGTGAGTGTTTCGTGCACGTGTGAGCATTTCTGTGAGGGTAACTGAGATCTTTCCTGTGCTGCAGTGACCTGATCTTCAGATCAAATAAATAAGTAGTAGCAAAATGGAACTTGTGCCTGCTATTCTAAGACCTTAACAAGGCTGTTCCTGTTCTTTGGACTGTCTGAAGAGCATTGACAGAGTGCTAAACTGAGACAGAGGAAAAGGGGTGGGGATGCAGGTGTCAAGAACAGCAATGAGATTGAGAATAGAGCCAAAGAGAGCAGAGGAATCTTTCCTGACAGGAAAAGTCCTTCAGTGACTTCAGCTTATGGTGAAAACACTGGTCAAAGAGAGAGAAGCAGTACAGCCTATGTTCACTGTTCTCATCAGTTCTTTAATACCTCTTTCTGCTATTCCCTTTTTTCCCCTGTGTTCCCCTCCTCTAAGGTCACTTTGGTACCTCTGCTCTCCGGGGCCTGCTGGCTGTGAGCCTGACCCTCAACGCCGTGTTCACGTCAGCCTACGTCTACCGGAGCCTGCGCTGATCTGGGCCCACACTCCCTGTCCTCCTGGTCCACCTGGTCCTGAGGAGACAACCAGAATTCAACCATGGCTTCATGTCTCATGGCCATGCCACTGGTGCATGCTGGTTTTTAAAGAACTACTGTACACCCAACACTCATGACAAGGAACCTGGGTAGCTGCTGCCATCACTTCCAGGTAGAACATATCCCAGGATTGCCCCTGGAGGTGGCAGAAAGCTCCAGTTCAAAGCAGGAGGCCTGTTAAACGGCCCACACACTTTTATTTCAAAAGAACTGACCTGAGACACAAGCCTGAAAATGTGTGAGCTACGTTTTTAGGAACCTATCCCAGCTCTTCTTTCTGACATATTGACCTCGTGCTGATGGTGCTGGTAAAATGAGGAGAATTAGAGCAAATGAGCTGAAGAAGAGGGATGGCTTAGTAGCTGGTGCTGGGCTTTGGCTACTGTAGCAGCATCCCCAGCCTCTGCTCGCTGGTTCCTCTTCTCTCTTCCCTTTGGCACTCTCCTCTAAACTATCAGTAAATTTTCTTTAGTTGCCTTAAGCTTGCCTAAGCACGTGGGTGACCTTGGCTGCTCTGTCATGTTCTTGCATCTTAGATGTCCATGTTCTTCCACCTGGACCTGGCCCTGAGGCCACTTTGACCAGTTCTCCTTCTGGTCATGCTGGTTCTGTCCTGCTGTCTGTCCATGCCTGCAGCCACACTGTGCTGCACACCCCCCACACAGACATCCTGGGGGGGCTGCAGAGAATGAGGATGTGCTTTGCTTTACCCAGGAGGCATTAATTCTGTTCCAGTGAAGTCTGTAAGAAGAAAGGATCCCGCTGTGATTTGCACCCCAGTCAAAGGGCTTCAGCTCCCAGCTCTGCTGGTGTTTTCACTGGAGCAGTGGGTGGCAGAGCTTGTTCTTGCTGTAAATCGCACAAACCTGGTCTGTCAGAGGTGGGTGAGGGGCTGTCTGATTGTACACATCTATCCACAAACCTGATGCCTCAGTCTGATGTTGGGATTTGCTGAGTAACTGTTTCAGATGTTTCTTAGTTAAATGCCCAGGTGCTCTCGGTGAAAAATGCCAAACCTGTACAGTTCAGCCTTCTGGATAGATTCTTTGTTTCTAACCCAGGGGAAGCAACCCTTGATTTCTAAAAGCAGTTTATCATTTGGCATTTCTGCTTTTGGGTGAGTCTTCAGCATTGCTTGGAATTCAGGGGCTATTTAGAGTATTGTGCAGAACACTCAAAATCATTTAGTGCATCCTAGGGAAAAAAAAGTCTTCATGTTTTGATTTCTAAATACCAAGTGCAAAGAGAAGATTTACCAGTGTGTCAAGAATACCTGGTGAAAAGAGAGCTGACTGGCATTAACTGTGTATTTCTTGAAGCAGGACTTGCTCTATTAAGAGTTTTTCTGTTGTCTCTTCCCTTGGGCTCCTTTACCTCAAATTTCTCTCCCCCACCCCACTGTCCCGTGTTTGCATCTTGAATTAGTGTTGGGCTTACTGTGTCTTTCCCTCCCTTTCAGTTTGCTGCTGTTCCCTCTCTTGTGCTCTTGCATGTGCAGAGAACAAAGTGTATCAGTGCTGACCATTCTCTGCTCTGAACCTGGAATTCAAACCTTCCTTTCACCTCATTTTTTTTCTTTTGTGTTTTGATCAAGTCCCCACCACAGCCTCACTTAGTACATCACTGGAGTGATAGCCAGACTCATCAGCATGCATATGACAGCTTCAGTGGGGTTTTACTGCTGCTGATTCAAGCACTGAAAAATTTAAGTCTCTCTTTGTCTTTTCCACGTCTCCTTGCATAGTTTCAGCAGCCCACTTCCAGCTGCTGCTCCCACCCTGCCTGCAGGGAGGTCTGCTCCTCCTGCTCTGCCTGGCACAGTTGGAGCACAGACTCACCCACACGTGCTGATCTGAGAGGCTGAGGAGATGCCACTCCTGACTCTGCATCTCTCCCAACCCCCTCCGGGAGCTGCAGCACCTCCCACACAAAGCCCTGGAGCCAGGACAGACCTGCAGCAGGAAGATGTGCTGTGGGCTGATGATGGATTCTATTGTAACTTGCATGAATTGTTCCTTGTAGCCAAACTGGACCCATAACCTTGCTGTAAAAAGATCTTTGTCCCTTTTTATAGACTTCTGCAGGCTCACTTGAGCATGTGTATAGGCAAGATGCTAGCAGACCAACTTCCAAGCTTCTATTTAAACCTCTGCTGTTTGGGTTTCGTGATGTCCTGGTGCAGTGTGTGACGTCCCATTCACAGATCCTTGTCCTACCTGAGGGGCCTCCTGTACAGAGACAAGCTGCCAGAAAATACTGTGGCTGTGCTTGTCTTTGTCACACCAACAGATGTGCACTGTGACTCCACGTATGCAAACTTCCCACCTTCGCCTCCCAGCCTGCTCTGGGTTTTACCATCACACCCACCTGGATCCAAGTTGCTCTCGGTCTCGGCCAGATTGCAATAGAAACCTTCTCCTCCTTTCCAGCAACCAAGGAGCTGCAGCCTCTCAACACACTTCTTCCCACTCCTATTCCAGAACAGGAACACTCTGACCTGTCACTGCACTTCTGCATCTGAAACTGTTCCTGGAGGGGTGTTTGGTGACCTTGTCCAAAGCAATATAAAGACTTTGGATTTTATTGCTGAAGAGGGAAGACAACCAAGTTTTTCATTCTGGTGCTAGAACACTCTCCAGTGGTGCTCTCACAGTTGTGAAGCCTTTGCTTGAAGAATCCATGAGTGTGTGTGTGTGAGTGTGTGTGTGTGTGTGTGTGTGTGCAGGTGTATAAAAACATCTGGAGGGTTTCTTCATTTCAAAAGATCTGAGCCCATGTTTGTCTCTATATTGTTGGCCTTAATCTAGCTCGTAGATACTGTGTCTATCTTGCTGCTCTTTTCTATATGAAGCTGGTTTGGAGGAAACAAAAGTTGATCTGGTCCCCCTGTAAAAGTCTTCGTGACTGATGTTGTTGATCTTCATACAGTGTTGGTCAGGGGGGAGATTTTATTTTTCTAATATTTTTCCTACTGCAAAAATTGTTGGAGTGGGATGGAAAAAAGATCTTTACAAAATGGTGTGATAAAGATGTGAGCATTACTTAATAATACCAACAGTTAATGATCAGGTGGAGTATAAGTGAGCTCTGTTTCCAGACCTTTTCCATTTCCTACCTTCCACTGGAAATGCCCAGGTACTTTTTCTTTGCATATGGGCTTGTTAGGCATGTTCTGAGACCTTGCAGATACTGTAGATGATTTTGCTGTTCTGACTTTAGAAAGAATTTGGATTTTAGAGTTCCAGTTCCACAGTCTGGGTAGTTTGGCAGATGTGACAAATATTGTGCCCGTATCTATTTGATGGGATAGAGGGAGTTGGTAGAACGACTTGTTTATCTTTTTACATAAAATTTTAGACATTAAATTGGTCACTCTGGGGTGGGGGGGGGGAACTGGCATATGTAGGCCAGATTCACTGAATTTTAGGCTGTTTGTTCAAGCAACAGTTCCGGCCTGTGAATGTTGGATTCCCACCTCATTTTCTTGGGTGATGGGAATACCTGTAAGACACTGCTGAACTGGCTGGGTTCCTTAAAACAGGGCAGCTGGAATGAAGGGCTTGTGTTGCCTGTGGATGCTGCTATATTTTTTCTTCCAAGCACCATTCCTGGAAATAACGATGGTCTTAACCTCTCTCACAGACATTTGTTAAAAGGTTAGAAAGGGCCAATTTGGCCAACACTTTTTTCTTTTTTTTTTTTTCTTTTCTGCATCCAGAAATTATCATCACTGTGTCCTGTGGTGGGAGTAAGGTACAGAGTACTTTTGGATTGAATGGGTATCTAGAGAGGGTGAGCAGGACAATTTCAAGTCCTAAACCTTATTTCCTGTGAAAGACTGTATGTTATGTGTGTATACTTCTTTGGGGAGCTCTATCACTGTACAGTTTAGTTAAACGTGCTCCAAGGAAGGAGAAGCTGTTCCTCAGAGGTTTTTAGTTCATGCTTTGTGTTTAAAGAAGAATATTTTTCTTTAAAAAATAAAAATGGATAAGTTTTCACCTTAGTGTGTGTGGTCCAGTTATATGCACACCGTACTTTTGTGTTCATTTGGCACTTAAGGGATTTGTTTTTTTGTTCCGTGAGATGGTGACTGAGAGTGTTTTATGTATTATTGCATGGTCTTAAATTTATGTTTTTATTTTGAAATGTATGTTAAGGGACAGGTGGTATAAGCTTTTAGACATAGGTTTTCTGATCACAGGCTTCAAAGGCTGTCATTTTCCTCCATTTATACTTTTATGACTCGTGTTTAGATTGTTAAAATGGGCTGCTAATTTGTTTCAAGACCTGGCCGTGTACTCTCTGTATCTTTAAATACCTGGAGAAGTTCTGTGTTTTGCTGGGCAGGAGGGGATGCACTTCTCAGGCACTTTTCCTTTCACTCCTGTTCTTTCAGTGTTGGAGACCTGTTTGGTTCTGCAGCCTTTTTTTATTTCCAGCAGTGCCCTCGTGTGTAATTGCTTTTGCATTACACAGGGCAGAAAAACAACCACTGTGGCCACACTGCTGAGTCTTTCCTCTGCTCCATCAGAGCTCCCTTCTGCTGTTGGCAGATTTGTTATAACCAGTAGGGATGTTTCGTTCTTAGCTATTTAAATATTTCCATCGAACCCAGTAGAAGTTTTCTGTTCAAAGACCTGTGCATTATTTTTAAAATATGAGCCACCAGTGTTGGTAGTTCTTGTAAATGGGAACAGCAGCCTGATAGTCATCGATTTTTTTCCTTCTGTTTCTTACCCCTGTACAACTTTTGGAAAAGAGGGACTGATTCCTTCCAAAAACCCTTCCAGATTTTTTTTTTAAATTGAGGCACTTTTTAATTAATGAAGGGTGATCAAGGAAGTAGTTTTTAAAGGAGGGTTTATTTTAATTAAATAACTGGCATAGGCCCACTAATAATTCTGTGCATAGGGATGTATTCTGAAGGATTTAGTGACTTGCACGGATGCAGCACCGGTGGAATCCGGGTTGCTGCACCACAGCTCTGCTCCTCCATCCTCCTCCCGGTGCCTGCAGGGACCCCCGAGCGGCCCTTCCCCGGGGTAGTTGGCACCTGTAAGTAGCGGGTGTGCAGCCAGGCACCCGAACCCGCCGGAACGGTAAGAAATGATGGATTTGGCCGCTTTTACTACAGGGATTTTTGCCCCCCCAAGCTCCGATGCTTTTGCCGGGGTGTCTTTGCCCGGGGGCCCACCCCGCTTCCCTGGCTGTGTCTCGCTCCAGGTTTGGGGTTTGTTGAGGCCAACGCGGCCGTCCCGACCCCGCCGCGACCCCGAACTTCCCGAGCGGGCCGGGCGGGCGAGGAGGTGGGAGGGAGACGATGGGAGAGGGATTTTAGGGCGGCAGCGCGGGGCCGCAGCGCAGTGGGCATGGGGCGAGGGACCCCGGCGAGCTGCGGGCGGCGGCACCGACCCGGCGATGTCGGGCACCGACCCGGGGGTGTCCGGGCACCGACCCGGGCCTGGTGTTCGGGCACCGACCCGGGGGTGTCGGGCACCGACCCGGGCGAGCGCAGGAAGCTCCCTACACCTACGTGGAGCGCTGAGATCACCATGGCCATTCCGGCGCCAGCCCGAGCAGGACGGCTCCGACTGAGCGGCATCTACGCCTTCATCCGCGAGGCTTCCCCTTACTACCGCGGCTGCTCCCCGGGCTTGGCAGGAACAGATCCGCCACAACCTCAGCCTCAACATCATGCTTCGACGACTGCCCGCCGCGGAGCGCCGCGGACGCGTCTGGTGCGGATCCCGCTTCCACGACATGTCCGGAGGGCGATTATCGCGGCGCCGCCCGCGCTTCCGCCGCCCCGCCGCATCATCATCCTCATTCATCATCATCATGCGCCGCCGGCCGTCCGCCGCCCGCACTGCTGCCGCGCGCCCTGGTCCCCGCCGGCGCCGTTCGCAGGTTTGCCCCCGGTTCCCCGCAGGCTGCCCGCACGAGGCCACTGCGGCCAGCACTGGCGCTGCCGCGGGTGCCTCTGCCGGCAGCTGGCCCGGCCTGGCCCCACGCGGCTCCTGGGCCGCCGCAGGGCTTCCCCGGCCTGGCACGCTGGATGGCGGGGATGCCCCGCGAGCTGGCGCCAGGATGTCGCCCTGCTTCAAGTGAACTCCCCCCCGGCCGGGCTCGGGGCGCTGCTGCATCGCCGCTGGGTTCCCGGGAAAGCGTTTGAAACCCGCTGGGTTCCCGAGAAAGCGTTTGAAACCCGCTGGGTTCCCGGGAAAGCGTTTGAAACCCGCTGGATTCCTGAGAAAGCGATTTCAAACCGCCCGGGAAGCGCAGTGTGAGAAGTGCCCGTTGCGGTGACTGGGATGCTCCCCCTGTCTCGGTCCTCTGTGCCCCGAGGAGGATGAATTGCGCTTCTCTACTGCATCGGTTTGGATTTGGGGAAGGAGGGATTACGGTTTTGTTGTTCAAACCTTCAGGCAAGGGACGAATTACAGTTTTGGTGTTTGAACCTTCAGGCAGCCTGAGAGGGAGCCGCAGAACACGGGCGACCTCTGAAAGTACGCGAGGAGGAGTCGTGCAAGTGCTGCTCCTCGGTTCGTGCAGGGAAGTTATTTTTTTCAAGTGTCCTTAATTTATTTTGAAGCTTTTCTTTCAAGGTTTATGGAAAAGCAATATCTATGTTGTGGGGTTGGTTTGGTTTTTTGTTTTTTTTTTTTCCTTTTTTTTTTTTGGGGGGGGGGGAATACCCCAAACCAACAAACCCCAAAGGTGTTTGGGGTAATACTGGAAATCTTGTGGGTTTGTACTTGAAGTGAATTTATACGGGATTTTTCATACGGGTTGTTTTATACTGTTGCTGGTTATGTATGTTTGCATACGTTCATTGTTAACAAGTTTCTTATATATTACCGTGTAATAATGTTTTCCCTTTGGGTTTCAGAGGGAGCAGTTTTTATGCTTTTCTCTCAAAATAAGGGTTCAGAGACAAAATATGCTTCCAATAAGAACCACGTTTTAAGTTTAAGGGAGAGAAGGATTCAAATACTGTTATGTGAAGAGCAGCATTTATTGTATGTTATATTAATAAATAGTATTTCCTAAGAGTTGTGGCTTCAAAAAGTACTTAAACTATTTTGATGCTTTTCTTGAAAGTAGGTACAACTGAAATCCAGTTTTATAGTTATTTTATATTTTTTTATGTTTATGAAGTGATTCTGAATGTCATCTTTAAATTCTACCAATATGTTATAATCAATGAAATACTTTATGGTTGTTTTTACGGGATGCCAACACATTAAAGATGCTGCAGTTCTGTCATGTTTCAAGTTGTTTTTTTCTTTTCATCTCATTTTTCATGTAGCTCCTGATATCTTTAAACACCAAACCATTTGCTATACTTCGAAGAAGTGTGTTTGGACTCTGGTTATAAAATCAATTCAGTGCCCAAAGGGGAATGCAGGTACATAAGGATTTGCTGTATTTTGAAGCTTTTGGTAACTGTATGTAACTGAAGCAAATTCTTACGGGGTTTTTGTTCTAAATAAGGCGTGGTTCTGTTCTGCTTGGCAGAGTTGTTAAGTGCCTGCTGCAGTTTAGAGCATATGTGAACAATTCATAAATGTAAAACTGCAGCTGCTGAATTTTGGGTATTGATTTTGACCTCTGCACTCCCATTAATTCCACAGTGCACACAATTAGGGAAATAGGAAAGGTTTCTGAAAGTCTGACTCTCATTGTGTGCCTCCCACTGGTGGTTTTATCTGGATTTTCTGATTTTTCCATTGCCCAGGTAAAGGTCCAGTACATGGAGTCTCCTTAGAAACCCGGCGGTGGGCCCCGTGCAGGCTGAAACCTGTCCCCGGGGTGGGGGGGTCTCAAGAAGGGCTCTCTGGGTGGGGTTTGATGTGGAATACCCTCTCTTGCAGACAAACAGCGGCGATGCCCGTTCCTGAAGGGCCAGCACATCATTTTTCCCAGGGAATCCCCCCGTTATCCAGAGGCCTGGGCCCAGCCGGGGGGGCTCAGTGCCCTCCCCTCAGCCCGTCCCTGCCCCTGCTCTGCGCTGCTGCGGCCCGGGAGGGTCTCCTGCCCCGGGGCCCCGCGCTCGCCTCAGCCCGGGGGATGTCGTACCCCTTTGTGCCGGCCCAGGGATGGCTCCTGGGCTGAGGCTGCCCATGGCTCGGCATCCAGCTGGCGGGGATGAGCTGGGGTAAGTGATTAAATTATAGCCCTTTCTTTACTTCCATTTCGGGACGCGGTGCCCTCACACGGGGGGGGTGAGGGGAGCTCCCTCCTCAGCCTCCCTGCCGGGGGTGCTGAGCGGGGTGGGCTCCAAATGCGAAGACAGGGCTGCTTTTATGCTCCCCTTAAGTAAAGATCGCTCCTGCCGTGATTATTCCTCTCGGAAATAAGAGATTATAAAGTGAATTTTATAGCCCGGTGGTTTCGGGGCTGTGTGCCCGTGGCTCGTGAGGCACTCGGGCACCGCTGGCTTTTGTAGGTGCAGAGTGAGGAACTGGTCATCCATTTCGGCTTTGTCTGTGCTGTGGTAGCAGCGATGCAGCCCGGGTAGGCAAAACAAATTTTAAAAAAAAGTGATTTTCAGATATCTGAAACCATTTGCGGCAACGCTAAAGGAGCACTTTACTGTGTGTTCTCTGGCCCGTGTAATCCTGCAGGTAGCAAGACACAGACATTTCGTACTCAAAAGTGGACTTAACTGTTGGGGGGTTGTGGCTTCTTTTTTTTTTCTTTTCCCTGTTGTTATTTCCCATTTTAACTTTTGGATTAACTGTGGCTCTTGTGTCTGGGGCATCCATTCTCACACAGAGATGGTGAGCCCAGTGGAAATCACTACTGACATCTGGCCCAAGGTTTTCAAAACTAACGAATGAATTTGGGTCCTGGACACAAGATTTTTTTTAATATCAGGCATTTAAAAGTCTTTCCATTTGGAATTCTGCAGTTGCACTTTAATTTGGGAAGAGCTGATTTATTGTTCATCCCTTGTCTTTGATGATTTAGTAGATGGAAGTTCCTTTTTTTATGT